TCTGCCAGTCACAGGATGGAGAGTTGGATCTCCCTTGAAGATTAAGGCAGCTGCAAAGCTGATGAAGTTAAGGCACTTTTGCGGGTTTGTTCATTTATATCTCACCTTTCATCCAGGAGCTGATGGAATCATATACAGTTCTACCTTCTATTTTCCTCACAACAAGTCTGTGGATAAGTTGGGCTTAGAGAAAATCCCCTAGAGAGTTTTCACAGCTGAGGGTAGAGCAGAACCTGAGCTTCCCAACTCTTCATCCAACATTTAACCACTACACCACATTGGATCTTTCACCTTGGTCTCACTTCCTTTTACATTAATTTGGCTTTGGCCTGCCAGGTTGTATGATTCCAAGCACACATTATTTACATGTATACATTTACAGATTTAACACACATTTAGAGATAATTCTTCTCTCAAAACATTTATTTACTCATTCACTTAATTCAATTTTGGCACTGTTCAACTCTACTACAGCAACTGATACTCGTGCTACCATGGGGAAGACTGACTGATCTATGTGCTAACTCAAATTGCTGGCCAAATGCTAATTCTAGAAGAGCAAGGTTCCTATACACACATGCATAGCATGCTCTCTCTATATATATTTGCATTTACACATACACATACACTTTAAATTGGACTTCAGCTTCAGCTAAAGGATGCCTTAAAGCAAGGAAGTAGAAGGCCTTTTCTCTTATGGACATCCTCCCAAAATGACAAAACATGAGTCAATCTTATTTCATTTTAGGCATGTGTTGGATGCATTCTTCTTTACCTTAGTATTCAGCATTTTATGGATACATTGCTTTATTACTCATCACAAGTATCCACAAATATCAATATTTTAATATGTATTAATGTTTTGTTCCTTTATATCTTTACAATTATTTTAACATCATAGAATAGATTATAGACACTCTGCAGGTATACTTTTTCCCCCTATATATTCTTATACTAAAGAATTTTTATTATTTCGCTAAATGTATTGGAGATGCACAGAATAACTGGAAGTATCAAAATGTTTCAAGCAAAGCAAACATATGGAGGACTATTCTCTGAAATTTAATTAATTCATGGCTGCCTCTCAGAGATGGAGGAATTAAGTCTCCATGTGGAATGGCAGTCCAAGTCCAACACTTACCTCCACAACTACTATGTTCAAAATTGTCAATATTTTTATTTTTTTAATGAAATGTATATGCCACTCATCTCACTATTGAAACGATAATATGATATAGCAGTCAAAGCAAGACTGGAGAGAACTAGGCCCAATCCACAATCAGCCATAGATGCTGAGTGATTTCAGAACTCTTTGTGAAACTTTTATGTGAAAAAAGCAGAGAAGTATACTTTTATTAAACATAGCCCTCTTCTCCCAAGTCATGTTTTCCTCATTATTGTCCAGCTTTATCAACTTTAATCATTATTTTCATTGTCCACGTCTATAACTTTTCCAAACCCCAAGGCATTCTTTTAGGAACAGGGTAACCTAACCAATATATAATATTCTATCTATATATCACTGCATATGCATAGATATGTACACAAAGAAACATATTCACTTATAGCATTATGATACTATTATTTTAATTTCTAGTCTTTTTTTCTAATATTTTTCCATATTGCTGGATCATTTTTCATCGCAGAGATAATTGCTTTTAATTAGTTTGGAACACAATCCTAAAATCTCTTTTATAGTAGTTACAGCCACTTTGTGTCACTATCAGCAATTCTCACAGGATTGTTGTGGCGAAAATGTGAAGAAGAAAGAGTACGAAGTAAATGTGCCATCTTGAGTTATTTATTAAAAAGGTAGAATAAAAATTAAATAAAACCTCTCACTGATTACTTTGTGACATTGTCCCTATTTCCTACCACTATATTTATTTCCATTTCCAATTTTATCTTTATTTTTTTCAACATTTCTTCTAGGGTTAAATTATGCTTCTTAGGGTCAGCACACTAGGCCTCACTTCATGCAAGCAGACTCTCTGGGGAATCCTTTAGCCACATTTTATCATAATTACAACAGAAGATTACATTAAGCATCTCAAATTATTCTAGTTTCTGTCTTCTAAAACTAAGTATTTGAGGGAGATATTTTTACTTCCAAAACTTTCACTAATCCGTATAGAAACTCAAGTTTTATCAAACAAACAGGACTCAAATTTAAATAGCATTTACAAGCCAACAAAGAACAGCACTCTTGGTCCACTTTGGGAGAAAAGGGAAAGACTTGATGAGCAGGTTATGCATTTAAAAGATCTTTTTACTGAGGGAATTCGGTTTGATGTTTTCCTCCATCACCTTCACTGCCAAGTACAGTGGCAGTAATTCCCATTTACACGTTAATATACTGTAACATCATCTTACCCTTAAAATGGCAAGGCTGAGTGAACAGATGCCGAGAGAATTTACATAGCATTTAAGTAATGAAGCTCTAAAGGTATAGACTATATGCAATAGTTTTATGCAGCTAATTCCTTTAAAAAGCATGCAACCTTATTCTATCACTTGCTTTGTTCCATCCACGGACAATCTGGTTCAGATATTTCTATTTTGGTTACAAAACATCTCAAATCACTGAGCAAATCCCAGGCTGTCTAGGAGGTTCTCTCAAATGTTCGACTATATGCATGATTTTTTTTATTTGATGTTTATTTGATTAAAACTTATTTTATTGCATTTAATTGTTGTAAATCTTCCTGAAATCAGTTTATAGCAGAGACAAGAAAATGAAGATTTATTTTCTTCAACAAGCACATAGATTTGCTAATAAAGGTTCATTGCTGCCCCTCTTCTAGGTATTTTTAAAACAAAGCCATTATTTTATTAATACAGCTTGCATATAATCTGAAGCAATGAACACATTTTGCATTCCCTACTTCTTTAGAAAGGCAGAGCACAAAATGCACCATAACTCATATCTCCACCATGAGTGCAAAAGTCCAGCTAATGATACAATTTCTTCCCTTCCAATTAAATGTGGAAGGACACTTATTCACTCACATACCATTAATTTCAGCAGATGTAAAAAAAAAAAAAAAGGAGCCACAGTCCTTCAAAAGACCTACTTGATGGACCTCACTATGAAAATACTCTGGAGCAAATCTTAAGTGGAAAAAAACAAGACCACTTGGTCACTCACACAGAGCTGTTATCAGCAATCTTCGACTCTACTGAATTTCTATATTGAATTACCGTAATTCTTATACATGTGGAAATGAAATTGCCAATATTCTCCAAACTGGAGAAGAGCAAATCCAAATGCAATATGAGGCTTCCTGAAAACAGGTGATTTTTCTGTGCTTCTTCATCAGGGCAATTAAATGATGCAACCACACATACATGAAACAAAGCAGATGCTAATCAGCAAGGTGCAAGCCCATAGCAGTGACTCATATGGGGTTATAGTAAGCCTTCTTCTGGGGAGCTGAAACACCTCTATGTTTTTGCATTGAGATAATGGATCACTCACTGACACCTGACACAAAGAAATAGCAGGAGCAATCACTCTACCAGATAAGATAAGGGAACTAAGTATAACAAGCAGTAAAATATACAACTTATTTTATGTTACTGGAGTCTTTATTTTCCCTACAACAAATAACAAAGCAATTTGAAGAATTATAAGCTTCTACTGAAGGTCAGCCATGAGGATATGACAAAAATGCTGCAGTTTAGAACTGATTCATTTTGTTCATTTGTTTGTTGTATTTTTATACCAGCACCCTATGCAAAATCATTTACGTTAATACCGTATGTCAGGGTAACAAGAAAAGGTAGTAAATTATGCTAAGAAAACTTTATAAAATGTATTTAACAAACTTAAACATTTGGTTTCCCCCACAGTCCAGGTTGACAAATGAAAACTGCATCCCACAGGGCTGAAGTCCTCACAATAAATGCCTTTAGAAATCAAGGAGGATGTGGCAAAAGGGATCAGTTCTGATTTTCTAACAAATATGACACAATGCAGCAGGGAAATAGGGAATTGGTTTACAATGTATAGTTTCCTTTTGTCCTCTTAAAAGTTTGTTGTATTTCAACTGATTGCACTATAAAAATAATGAAACCTACCTTGGTCCTCTTTTTTTTTTTAAGTCAGCGGTTTCCAAACATGAACTGATTTTCAGCTATGCCTAAGGCAGATAGCATAGGTGAAACAGGCATGAATTTCATTGTGAAATCAAGTTTAACATGTTTTAGGGCACCAGTGCAGACAAGTCCTAAATGAGACCTATTCTACTACATTTCAATTAAGGACTTGCTCTTGTGCTAAAGGTAGAAAATGGCTGCTGTAACACAAGCCTCTGAGTCACACAGAGCTCCTTACTGGGAAATACGGAAAAGTAAACATTGTTACCCGGTGTGGTTTAAATAATAACAATACCGCTTCTGCTTGAGATGGGTAACATTGTGAGATCTGCCTCTTAAAGAAATTCATAGAAATGTATGTAAGACTTGCACAAAACTTTTCTCTGTGGCCAAAATGGAAAAGTAATGTTTTTCAGGCCACACAGAAAACCTTGTTTGCAAATGCAAATCCCGCTAGCCTACAACAATACGGTTGGTCTAAACTTGATAAAAGAGCTTTGTTCCCTTTGCCCCGGGTTTCCAGGTTCAATATGGTACCCAATCTTAAGACCGCACGAAGTCAAAGCAGGCAACTAAGCCCCTCGTCTAATTGTGGGAAGAGCCTCCCCCTCCCTCAAAGACGCCAGGTGAGCCTTTTTCAGAAGCGCTTTCTCACAATAGCCAGACCTGCACCTGCTGGATCAGTGTTATTCGAAGCAAAGTTTTTCTTTCACCAAAGAAAAGTTGGAAGAAGGTTTCAAGGCGGAATATGGATAAATCGCCCATCGGTTAAAAAGGAAAGGCAGGAGCCTTCCTGCATCCCAACGAACCTCTCCTTCGCTCCACTCTCCCCCCCCCTTCCAAGCAGGATTCCCGGTTCTATGAGAAAACGGAGCCACATTTCGCCGCACCGACGACGTTACCTGTCATTTCGAAGCGCTCCCCCCGCCCGGTGCGGAGCCGGGGCCGCAGCGCTTCGCCAGCCCCGCAAAAGCAAGTAGCGCGCGCCCTCGGAGTCCACGGCTGCCTGGCTCCGTCGCCGGCTGCTGCTCTCGGGGGCTCCCGGTTGCCTGGCGGGGCGGAGCTTCCCACTCAGAGACTTGTTGCTACTGAGAGCAAGCAAAGCCGCCCCAAGCGGTGAAAAGGAGTGGCTGGGCCGGCCGCTCCTTTGACGACTCGCCCGTTCGGTCTCTGGCGTGTGAAAGAGCCCTCGCTTCTCCACGGGGAGCCGGCGTTCCGTGGAAGCTTCGCCGGAGAGGGAGGAAGCGAGCGACCTCCAGCGGATCCCGGCGGGTAGAGAGTGGGACCAGATGCGGATCTACTCCGCCGGGAACCGCCAAAAATCGAGGTCGCGCTTGTCTAAAGATTGCGGTCGAAAAAGATGGGGAAACCGGAATGGAGACGTTTTTCCTAGGCCCTATTCTGACGATGGAACCAGCATACAGAGCCCGATGCAGAAGGACTAATTTAATTAGTTGAGACTATTTGTCCATTAGGTTAATCTAAAATGTAGCTAGTTTATGACTTGGGAGTTGTATGGATTCAGTTTGTTGGACTGATAGGATAGGATAGGATTCTTTATTAGACACACAAGGAATTTGGTGCATATGCTCTCACTGTACATAAAAGGAAAAATACATTCATCAAGAATCATAAGATACAACACTTAGTGATAGTCACAGGTTACTAATAAGCAATCAAATCATACTAGGAAACAAACAGAATTCTGGGCCTGAATGCTAGTGTTGTATATACTAAGAGCCAATTTATAATGGTCATATTTCTTGTTGAAAAAAAATTAAAATGAATCAGTTAAAATGTAGAAAAGAATTTAAGTTTTAAGTCCCCACTATACCATGGAGCTACATTTGCTTTTTTCCCCTGATTCCTGATTTAGTGAACAAAAAAGAACAAAATTAAAGAGTTTCCTGGATGTAACAAGAAAAAATGGGAAGTTTATTACTTTTATGTATCTGAGCATTCAATCTTAAAGTTGTGTTCCTTCCTCTCACTCCCTACATATTGGTTCTACATATAGAAATTAGTTGTGTTGATTAGGGCAATGAACAGTGCCTTCTTTTTTAGCCTTTTGTAATTTATATTTTGTAATTTTGTTTGTTTTTCCCCTCCCTTGAATTGTGAGCCGCCCTGAGTCCCTTTCAGGGAAAAGGGCGGCATACAAATAAAGTAAATTCAAATTCCTTTTTTTTTTTAAGTGCACACATTTTGATAGATTATTTAATCAAAATTGCACAAGAATAAAGATACAAAAAGCAATGTAGAGATGAAACAACTAAAACAACGAGTAGACGATGCAAGACTGGGACAAGGTTCTGAGTAAATTAGTCTTTTAATAGTAGTAAAGAGCTTTAAAGTTTCTTGCCACCAGGTAGAATTTGCTACATACCTACTGTAGTTAATCTTTTGTATAAAACTGCCCTGGACCTATTACACAAAATGGGGGGAAGGGAGATGCCAGGAAAGAATCAGAAAAAGAAACTAATTTGGCTCCATATCTCCTAAATACTCCATAACATCCTTTGGACAGAAAGAGGTTTATATTTTAGGAATGGTGGGAGAGAAAATCACATTGAATATCATTATGCAGATAATAAATTTAATACATAAATTCCCAAAATGAAGTTAAATTTTCAGTAATATTAGAATATTATCCTTGGTGCTTTCTAAGCTTGGTTGTTTTTTTGCATCTTAGTGCTCAAGAATAAGTGTTCAAAACAACTAACACCTAAATAATTTCTGGGTTGTTCTGTTGACTGAGGCAGATATTGCTGCCAAATAATTCCAATGCCACATAACAGGCAAAAATTGTTCGTTCTCAGGATTGCAAGAACTAACACAGATTGTATAACATCTAAAATTTTCATGGTAAAGCTTTGCTACCACTCTGGTGTAATAATAACACAGATGAAACTTCTGTAACAAATCACATATTTTGGACACTTTGAACCTCCTCCCCAATTTGGCTTTCAGAATAATTTATGAATTAAACTTATTAGCCTTTTTACTATTAAAGCAAATAAGTCACAAGAGGATGTTTAAATATCTTCCTCATTATGAAAATGACTGCCTTGGGTGCTTACTATTGATTTAGCAATTCTAATCAGAGATACTAATGAAATAATATAAATTATACTTGGAAGGAGATTCAAATTAGGCAAACCTAGTAGATGTTTTGTGACACCCTAAACAATTCATTGCATATATATTTCATACATAGACAGAATAACAGAGTTGGGAAGGCACCTTGGAGGTCTTCTAGTCCAATCCCCTACTCAAGAAGGAAACCCTATATACTATTTCAGACAAATGGTTGTCCACTCTCTTCTTAAAAATCTCCAGTGTTGGAACATTCACAACTTCTAGAGGGAAGTCGTTCCACTGGTGAATTATTCTCACTGTAAGAAAATTTCTTCTTAGTTCTAGAATGGTTCTGTCCTTGATTAATTTCCATTCATTAATTCTTCTTCTGCCTTCAGATGCTTTGGATAATAAGTTGACCATGTCTTCTTTGTGGCAACACCCTAGATATTGGAACATTGTTATGATGTCAGTCCTAATCCTTCTTTTCATTAAACTAGACATAGTTAATTCCTGCAACCTTTTCATTTGTTTTAGCCACCAGTCCATAAGAGATTTGGGCAACAACCTCACTTATATGGAATGATATCGTAAACTGGCAGCTAAATATACTCTTGGCTGCAGTAAGAAAAAGACATTATTTCTTTTTAGTTTAAGTAAATAGTTTTATAATTTGATTTACTGCTGAGATGAACACTGAAGGTATTAATAAGTTGGAACCATACTTTTGGAAAGAGCAATTTAGACCATAAGATCCAAATGTTTATTCAGTGCAAAAGTTAAAATGAAAGCATCTCAAAAATATGGTTGCTTGGCCTCTGTTTAAGCAGATTCTGTGAAGGAAAGTTTAGCATCTCTCTCTGAGTATACTGTTGAACTGATAGGATTTTTTTTCTGAAATTAAAAATTATCTGAATAGATTAATTGGCTGAAAGTAACAAAATGAAATGTAGCAGAAACATGGGCCGTGATCACTTATTAGGAAACAAAAATTAAATCAGACACACAGGATGAGGGATGGAATAAGAATGGAATGGAATATCTGGAAGAGTCCTTGGAGGTCTTCTAGTCCAACCCCCTGCTCAGGCAGGAAACCATATACCAGTCCTGTCAAACTGGCCTGCAGGCCGGATGTGTCACATGCAGGTGTACAGGTGTATGTCACATGTAGGACATGTGTTTATCTGAAGCATGTTTGTAAAATCACCCTTCTAAAAAGCTGTATCACCATCTATAATGTGTGCTATTTGCAAATTTAATGTGAGTCCTTCTACTTATTGGCTAAGGCGTCACCAAACATGAATATAATAAACCTGATTTGAGCTTTGGGAGTCAAAATCTCTCCCCAGTTTGATGAGAATGCATAGTACAACTGTAAGCATAGATATCTCTTTATTTGTCATGCCACTCAGTACAAAATAGAATATATAATGTAAAATATTGACAAGTGTATGCTGCTATTAAAATCAATTAATAATTTAAAACTTGGCCAAAGAGGTATGTAAAAGAAATACACTGCAATATTTGTGTGAAGGTTAGTTTCATGTAAAACAATTACTGACCATAGCTAAATCATTGATAACAAAAACATTCTGAATACTGTACATTGTTAGCTCAGTTGGAATACTGTACACTGTTGGGCTGCAGTTAGATGGTGCCAAAATCAAATAAATATATTAAATAAATAATAATAAATACTGAGATTAAAAATGCTGTCAAAGGTTTTTTTTTAGTACAGAACAACTGAATTTTCAGAGCAATGAATAAGTTAAATATAATCACCTGTGTCCTTGAAACAAGATTATAGGGGGGGGGGATTTTTTTTTCCCAGTAGGGATGTTAATTAATGTCCTATTCCAGTGATGGCGAATCTATGGCACGTGTGCTACAGATGGTACACGGAACCCTATTTGCAGGCATGCAAGCCATCAGCTCCAGGGCGAATGCATGCACCAGCCAGCTGATTTTCGGCCTTTTGGAGCCTGGGGAGGGCAAAAATTCCCCCCCTGCATGGGGTGGCTGGGTGTTGTGTGCAAATGGAGGGGTGCATGCATGCTCATAAGTCACATGCGAATGCGCAGATGGGCAGGGTGCATTGCCTTGTGGGTGTGAGCACGCACACGTGCGCTATTGCACATGCACACACAATTTTGGCACACCTTTACAAAAAGGTTCGCCATCAATATCCTAGTCTCAGGAAAAAAGTTCACAATATCATGTTCAGATTTCCCAAAAATTATATTTCTTTCCTTGAATTAAATGGCATTGAGCATGCAACTTGTTAGACCCTTGAGCAGTTGAAATGTCTGCTCAAGCTTTCATCTGTATGGAAGGGTGAGATATTAAAACTTTCCTGGATAAAAAGGCTACATGCAACAAGAATCACAACCACAATATCCTCATTTGCTCCCCCAAAGAAACAATAAGATAATTTGACTTTTATTTCCATGAACTTAAAGTCATGTAGATTATGACCCCAGGCGACTTATGGACCCTTTGGGCTTTCAGACGGAGCTTGGGGTTGTTCCTGATACCCTCGTCCGCAGTCCGGCGGAGACTGGTTGCTGCTTGGAATTCAGCAGCGGCAGGGGCTCTTAACCGGATTGTGCCTTTACGGCCATTCCGAGGCAGTGGATCCTGGAAGGCTCCTTGGTTTACTGAGGAACTCTGGGAGATGAAGCGCCGAAACAGGGATGGAGGTCATGCCTCCGTCCTAGTGCTCCTTGACCTCTCAGCGGCCTTAGATACCATCGGCCATGGTATCCT